TCTATTTGAATGGCTAAATCAACACCCCCTTGTAAACCTTAGAATTTTGTATAATTTTTGGAAGCACTTCCAAGAGGAACCGAGAAAGCAGCAAAGAAAGAACCATCATCCCATCTCAGGATGCCCCACAACCAGCTCGACTTGGATTCTAGATAGAAGACCCATCAACATTTAGCTTAACATGATATGAATGTGGAAAGCCCAAGCTATTGTTATGGGCAACTTGATCTTTTGTTGCCGCCACGTAAGTCGTAAGTTCTCAGTAATTGCCTTTTCTGATATGTGATAAGTCCATGCCTTAGTATCTGCCAAATCACGAACATGACAAATGATCCTACGAATCAACTTCTCACGAGTGAGTGTCCTCCCTTGAAACATACGGTGGTTCTGTTCCTCCCAAATCATCCATAAGGTTGTGAAGAAGAAAGAATGCCAAATGTGGATAATACCATCAGACTTAAACCTGAATGCCAACCATTTCATCAAAATAGCTGCAATAGAATAATCTGTAATAAAGCGTTTAGCACATCTCCATGCTATCAACCTCCAAATCCCCTGTAAAAAAACACATTCAAGCAATAGATGGCAAATATTCTCATCATTAGAGAATAACAAAAAGGGCACACATAAACAAGGGTAATTCTCCTCCGCTGCATGAGAGAAGAGGTGGGAAGACGATGGTGAATGCTCAGCCAAGAGAACCATTTAGCGCTTGGATGACACTTAGAAAACCATAGTGCTCCGACAGATGAAATTCCATACATCTTGTACAAAAAAAGATCCATGTGAAGAGTGAATCCATACCAAAAAATCAAGCTGGGGTTTCAGAAGGATTGAAACAACCTCCACTTCCTTCCAAATTATAATCCATTGATTCCAAGTTCTAAGTACGGGGCCTGATGTAGGGGTATAAAAATACCAAGATTGCGAAGAACCATATAAGTAATTTGCGGCCCTAGGCTTAGCAAAATTTCCCAAGTCCTTCCGGATACTGGAACCATAAGATTCCAAAATAGATTTATCTGATAACCATAGATTTGACCAAAAATCAATTGTTCTGCCATCCCCAATAATCCATCGAATATTGTGGCACAAGAGAGACAATCCTGTTTGAATGCCCTTCCATGTATAGGAGTAGGTTTTCCTTTGAACTTCCCAGATAGAAGAATTCCTGAAGTACCTATGCTTAAAGAAACACGCAATAAGAGAAGACAAGTTAGCCAGAATCCTCCATGCTAACTTCATCATGCCTGCATTATTGAACACAATAATATCCCGAATTCTAAGTCCCCCCTCTTCCATTGGTATACATGCATTCTTCCATTTGACAAGGTGAATCTCCCTTTTATGAGTTGTACCAGCCCATAGAAAATTCCCTTAAAGCATGGCTAGCATACTGCATGTGCGCTTTGGCAATTTAGATGATAGAACCCAGAAGATGGCTGATGAACGAAGCAGCGATCTCAACAATTGTAACCGACTTGCATAAGAGAGTGATATAGCCTGCCATGTTCCTATCTCGTTAATAGTTCCCCATGAGACTCTGGCAGTTATGATGTTTTAAGTTACCATGAAAAAGAGGCAATCCCAAATATCTCACTGGAAGAGAACCCTCGCCAAAGCCCAATTCCTTTAAAATCAAATGTTTTGCATTCATGGAGCCCCCCACAAAGAAAACCATACTTTTAGTTACATTCAGTTTATGCCCTGTGGTATGTCCAAAAATAGAGAGAATAGAATTCATTTGCTTTGCTGCACGTAGAGAAGCCTCACAGAAAATAACTGCATCATCGACATGAAATAAATGCGACACCCTATTTTCAAAGCTAGAAGGAAAAACCAAAGGAAGAGCACCTTGTAGTATTGCTTGATCCAGCTGCCTACTCATAAAATCCATCATCAACAGGAAAAGATATGGTGATAAAGGATCCTCCTTCCATAAGCCTATTTTTCCTTTGAAATATCCCCTTAGGGAACCATTATAAAGCACCGAGAATGGTGGAGAAGTGATACAATGTCGATCCAAGATACAAAAAGATCTAGGAAACCCAAAGCATGCAACCTCACAAGAACAAATTCCCAAGTAACTCGATCACAGGAACTACTTAGATCCAGCTGCAAACACATCTTAGGATTGACTGAGTATTTATGACATAAAGAAATAAGCTCATTAGCCATCAATATGTTATCTGTGATGAATCTCCCCTTCAAAAAAACATCTTGTTTGGAATCAATCAAAGTATTCAAGTATGTAGTACTTCCCTCAACTATTCGAAATAAATTTGCTAATAAGTTTGTAAAGAATATTACACAAATCAATTGGCCTGAACTCCTCCATAACACTAAGGGAATTGACTTTAGGGATAATGCAAATGAATGTAGAATTTATCTGCTTAAGGAATTTACCTTTCTTAAAAAAGTCATGCAATTCTAAAAAAAGATATTTCTTAATCACTTCCTAACTAAACTTATAAAATTCCATAGTAAACCCATCGAACCCTGACGCCCTTTCACTCTTTATCCCCCAAATACAAGCTTTGATTTCCTCTATAGAGACCTCCTTTATAAATTCCATTTGTTGATCTTCACTAAGAATTGAAGAAAAAAGAAAGTGATCAGCCAAACTAAGATCAATGTTACTTTCTTGTGCCAGTAGTTCCTTAAAATAACCAATCATGTGATTTTGAATTTCTATCTCACAAGATTAAAAAACCCCATTTTGATTTTTGAGATGATTGAGCATGTCTTTTCTTCTCCTTATAATGGTAGACAAGTGGAAGAACCTAGTATTTGAATCACCATCTTTAAGCCAAGTCTGTCGAGATTTTTGTATCCACATACTCTTCTTATTTGAAAGTAATTGTTGCAAGGCATGCGTACATGTTTTTTCTTCTATCATTAGATTCTCATTAACAGGATACTGATTTATATCATCATGCAAAATCACTAAGTATTGCCGAATATCAGATATCTGGTTCCCACATGACCAAAAGAAAATTTATTCCAATCTCTCAGGACACTTCTTAGCCTTTTCAACTTTGTCACAAAACGGAACATAGGCGTGTCTTCTATTCTAAGTTGCCATGAATCAAAGATAACCTCCATAGATCCTGAGAATTGCTGCCAAGTCATGAAATATTTGAATAGTTTCGGTCCGACTGGAATCTAGTTTGATAAAGTCACTAATAAAGAGCAATGATCAGAATTACCCTTGGGAAGTAATTCTACCTTAAATTCCGAGTATGATAAAATCCATTCCATATTTGCCAGGGCCCGATCAAGACGTTCTTTGGTACATCTTCGCCTAATTTGAATTTTAGACCAAGAGAACCACCTCCTTGTTGAGCCTAAATCAGTTAATGCACAATCAGCCAAACTATGTGCAAAGTCACATGAATCATGTGGTAATGAATTTCGACCACCCATCTTTTCATAATGATCCAATATCGTATTAAAATCACCAAGAACTATTGAAGAACCCTTGGTAGCTGCACATATATCTCTCATATGATTCCAAAGAGGTGCCCTTTGAGCAACTGAATTAAAAGCATAGACACTCGAAACAATCACGGTGCACCCATTGCATAACTGTGTTGCCTGGATAGGATAGTTATCATCTGATCACTAATGTTCAACACATTAACTGAAAATATGCATGGATTCCACAAAACCATGATTTGTGATCTGCCCTATACTTCATTAGCCGTTACGTTACTATAAAAACCAAATTTTCTAGCCCAACTCAAAACCAATTCGGCAGGGAGTTTATTTTTCAAAAGGATCAAAAGCCCAACATTATGATTATTAACTAAATCAATAATATCTGAAATTCTACCAGGGCCTCTCAAGCCCAGAACATTTCATAAGCTAATCGACATAAGATTCGTGATCAGTGAATTTACCCTCCACCAGCTTGCACCCGGTCCTTCCCGATGTGCTGTACCTTTATTGATGCTTTACATAATACCCTATTTTAACCCCTCCTCTTCATGAACATGATCCCTTTCTATTTCATCAACTCGAAGAGCCTTATCTTTCATATTATGGATGACATTTGGAGGCTCTAGAAAAGGTACCTCATCCATATTATAGTTTCATCAGCCTAGTGAGAACTCTGTGCGACTTTTGAGATGGGCCTTCTGAGGTTTCCATGTTTCTACCTACTTGTTTGCTAGTACCATGTGCTCTCTTTCACCTTCTTCATCTCATACCAAGTTTGTTATCAACCATCCTCGCTGATATGGTGGTACGCTATGTCTTTTTGGCTTTGAAAATTCCATTATTCCTTCTTCGTCTTTATTGTTTTTTTTTTTTAATCTTAAAATATAACAAAAAACAATCGAAAAATAAATGGATTTTGTACTCCCGCAAGACTACAATGTACGTGGCATTTGAATAATGCGCCATAGGGATGGAAATGGACCTCGGAGGTAGACCTGACCTCAGCTCCGGATATGGGTCCAAAGTTTGGACTAGAATATTATTCGGGTCCGGGTCCAGTCGGACCCGACTCATACCAGCCCCATACCTGTAATAATAAGATATATGATGGCAATCACGTGCGCTAGGTGTTCATATTGTCACAATATTGACAACGTTTGCAATATTATTGGAAAACAAGAAACTCATACTCATAAAGTAGAGGATGTACTATGGTAAAAAATAAATTGACAGAAAAACTAACAAGTTCATAGTCATATGGTGGCAATGGATCTGACCGAACTCAAGACCGAACAGTTAGACCCAGGACCCAACGGATACGGGTCCGGGTCCAAATTTTGAAAGACGTCCGGCTGGACCCCACCCGTTTCCGCCCCCTAATGCGCCTCACGCTCGAAGATTCAATGCTCCCGAGGGGCACATTGTCCAAACGGCAGCTAGATTCGAAATTGCACGAATGGTCATTTCTGGTATTCGATTAAAACATAGGGGCATTACAGTCATCTCTCTCTCCCTTGAATTCGTGACTTCCACCGTAAGGCTTCAAAGATCTTCTTCGACTCTTAATGTTGCAGAGCCATGAGCCAATGCTCCATTCCCTTCTCACCAAAACTAGGGCACAATTATTTATCTTTAAGGCCGTTTTTAGGGCATGACTCCACTGAACTATAGAGATTATTCAGTATTGAAATCGAAGATGAATTCTTCTTCTTCAGGATGGATCAGCATAGCTGCGAGTGCTAAGAAGCTCGATGTTGATAATACGATATCTCTGCGTTATTACTACCGAATTGCGGATAATCTCCTGAAGCAGGTTGTATATTGTATTTTTGTTTGATTTAATTATATGTTTTGTTTGAAATCTCTGGATTATTATTATTGAATTCTTTTGAGTTCTGATTGCTGGATGGTTCTTCTTGATAAATTGAGGTTCATTGATTGAGAATTTAGGACTTCTGTTTTTTACCTAATTTTTTGTAATTTGGCTTTTCGTTTTCGAAGTATGAATTTAGTATTATGGCTTTTGGGTTAGAGTGAAGTTGCAACATAATGTCCAGGAGTTCGAATCCCATTGCTTACCTAGAGAGGGACTTTTGATTGGAAGGGGGGTTTGGTATTTTATTTTATTGTGAGAATATTGGTTTAATTTATTGTATATTGCAGTAATTAAATGCAAAGAGAATGGGGATTATATTATTGTATACCAAATTTCAGATTGATTGATATTTATTTGGTTCTGATTGTGTTGGTATTTAGGGGACGTATGGAGAGAATAAATATGAATTTTTTATGTGGTTGTTGAATTTCTGTATGAAACGAAGGAAATGATGGGGGAAATTACTTGTTTATGTATCCCCTTTTTATACGTTAATGAGGCTGGATTTGATCCATGAGAGATGATGGATATAACTATTGGGATTTTTCCTGTAATTAGGATTAGGAAGTGTAAAAGTCAATAGTGGTGATGTTTGTAGTGTAGCCTTTCTGTTCAGAAAACGTTTCTTCCAAATTTTTTCCTTGTAATGCAGCTGAACTTACTTTGGGTGATAATATTGAATTTGGATGGGCAACTATACTCAAGAACATATTGAAAATTGGCTTGTATTGGGTTTCATTGCTTGCTTCCTAAAGCGTGAAGTCTTCTCAAAATTTATTACTAGCAAGAATACCAGCATTGAATGGAACATAAATCCTGCTATTATTTCTGCAATACCAATAACTTATAGATGTGGTGCAAAGATAAAAAAAGATAAATTCTCTGAAGATGGAAGGCTGACTACCAAGATATTGTGTCTCCTGGTAGTTTCTAATATTTTCTGCATTATTTACTCTTGCACTTCCATCAACAAGTGAAAGTAATCAAATTAAAACCTATACATTAAGCTAAAAGTTCAAGTGCTACATTTAACGAGGGTCAAATGAAGGCATTGTACTCTGAGGCCTCTTGGTGGAACTTTGGTTGCATGGGAGTCAGAAAATATGGATGCTACTTATTTAAGAGATGCCTGTTTGATCCAATGCTATTTGAGCTATTGTTTTTGGGAACCTTTGAAAATTTGAACTTTTATAGAGATGCATAATAATATGGAGTTTTATCTGAACTAGTAAAGGAAATATATAGCAATATGGAGTGTGTTCAAAACCACAAATCTATGATGTGTATGTTTTGTGTTGGGCTTTTTTTGCTATATGGCTGTGTCACAAGGGCACAAATATGAGAATCCATGTTTGACTTGGATTCAGAGAATCCGTCTCACGTGCCAATTTGTGGCCAAGTCTTGCATGTCATATCCTTACAATACATATGCCTTTGATGCATACATAAAATAAGTTTGTAATTTTTAATAACAGAATTAACAAAAAAAAATAAGATGTGGGTTAAAATTAAATACACGTGCAAATCACATGCACGTGTGCCCAATTGGGTGGACACATATGTTTTACAGAATGGACACACATCTTACAATTTATACATTCGTGCCTTACAAAACGGATACATGTGTCTTGTTTGTCCATTCTGTGGAATAGCGTATCCACCATGCAGATATGCTGTGTCAGTGAATCCATATATTGAAAAATTCCAGATGCACCTATTGACATGGATTTCCAGTGGCTGTATGTGTGTCTTCATCTCAACACATGATCTAGTGTGTTGGCATGTCAGATGTTCCTAAATGCACCCAACATGCTTGTTGTTGTTTAATAGGTACACCAAGTTACAGAGAACTACCAAGAATAACCAATATTGTCTATTTACTTAGAAATTATGGTGGTGTCTTGCATGTGCATATCATGGATAATACTTGTCGTGAGGTGTATACATTGGTCATATTCCATTGGTAAAATGGGCATATAAAAATATTGTGGTTTTGAGTTATGGGTGCCATACAAAATTAACTAAAGTTTTATGCAAGTGACTGAAATGGCCCTACTATACTGTAGCCATACTTGCGATTTGATGTTTATTGGTTTGCCTCTTGGTTAAATTGGATTTTCTCATGGCTTCTAAAACTATAACTCTTGTGCAGGCTGAAATCTATCGTGAGGAGAAAAATCTTGTTGACCTGTACATAATGTTGCTTAGGTTTTCCAGGTCAGTAAAATATCTAACAGTTATGCATAACTTTTAACTATTTTTAAAAAAAAGTTTGGTTTTTGGTGCCTGAAGCTCCATGATTGCCATTGTGCGCAAAAGTGGCTTGACATCAGATACAACTGATAGGCCTTTGGACTATTTTATCTGAAATTTGCCTCTTTTTCAATGAATAGTGTTGCTGAGTCACTCTATCTACTGCAGTTTGGTTTCTGAAACTATACCTTGCCATAAAGATTATCATGTGCTGCTGCAGAAGGAGAAAAGTTTTTACATGCAGGTACTTTCATAAACTGCTGGTTTCGTCTAACATAGCTATCCACGTTTGTCCAGTATCCAATGCTGTAATATCATGTTCTTTTTGCTGAATTCTTGATTGTACCATCACCACAGAAATTATTGAAAACTCTCAATGAGTTGGAGAAATTGAAGCCTGTTGTTCAACAACAAGTTGAAGTACTAAACAAAAAGCATGCAAGTAAAGGGGTTAGGCACAATGATTCTCTTGATTCTTCACTGGAATGGCCTCCTGTCAAGAAGCCAAATCGTACAAACTATGAGATTATGCCGGTATGAAAGCTACATTTGCACCTTCCTGTGTATATCTTGTGTTCCACAGTATTGATTGACCCTTGCCAGTGTTCTTTCTGTGAGAGCCACAACTGTAATAATAACTAGTGAACATACTTGTTTCTTTTATATATTACCTGGTAGGAATGTAACTCTAAATGTCGCGTTGTGGCACCCACTATCCTAACCACCTTTGCCAAGAGCCCGTTCTCAACTATTGAACAGAATATTACTGTTTCATAGTGACTATTGAATTGTTTTATTGCGTTTATCTCATGTATATTCGTTTCACATGATTCTCTAGGTATACAGGGGTAACAGACAAGATGGTGCACTTCATACTTCATGGAAGAATAATGAGTTTAATCGAAACAGCTTCTCAAATTCTAAACAAATAATAGAGCCACTTCGCAAGATGTAAGTTTATATTTCTCATCTATCCTGTTAAATGGTGGGAAATGCTGTTATTCTCTAGCAATGATTCCGCTATTATGAACTCCCTGTGTAGATATTAAGTTATAATCCAGCAAATGTATTGTTCTTGTGTATTTAATGGTTCTTGTAGTGATGGGAGAAACTTGGGCTCTTGGGAATTTTTTTTTTCTGTTTTTTTTTTTTTTTGGAGATAATTTGATTGACTTTATACATGTATACACAAATTACAAAAGGCCCACCAAGTAGTTAGCCCACAGATAGGGTGCTCTATTGGCGTAGGTGGGGGAGAGAGAGAGAGAGAGAGGCAAAAAACCTACGTGGAAGCAACCCGCATCTTGAGCTCCAAGGGCGAGAGAGAGGCAAAAAACCAAGGTCGAAGCAACCCGCATCCTGAGCTCCAACACAAAGTATCACCTCAATGTACAAAAACCGGATACCCACATGTCGAGAGCTCAAGTACAAAAAAGGGCCGAGGGATCACTTGTAAAGCTAGTAGCCGCGAAGAGATAGACCAACTACTGCAGAAACAGTGGAGAAAAGGAGACGATGGGAGAGAGAGGGGGCGAGTAGAGGGGAAAGGAGAGAGAGAGAGAGAGAGAGAGAGAGAGAGAGAGATGGACTTTAGAGGAAAGAGGGAGAGGTGGACAAAAATGCATTATGGAGGAGAGATGAGAGTTGTGGACCCTCTAGCAGTACCCTCCTTGGCCAGCTATTAGCAATGTGGTTGGCTGGTCTCATTACATGGTGGAGTACAACCTGATTGTTCCTACAAAGCATGTAAATGTTGTAAAAAATGTGAGCTAGTCTTTGTGGATGTTGATCAGATCTTAGCGGTCCACAAGATACCATTCCTAGAGTTTCCTTCCACAATGAAGGAATCAATGTTTGGAGGGGCAGGAACGAGATCGTCCAAGATTGCCATTGACTCCGCCCTAGTAGAGTAGGTGCATGCTTGATAAACCGTTTGTCCTTTTTAATGGAACCCCTTTACATTCATTTTATTCATTGCTTCTAATCAATGTTCCCAAGGATATACTAACTTTTCACAACCGTTAATCCCTATGTGTTATCTGTTTTAGGGTGCATTTGCAAGGGGTTGGCATATCATGGATGGATTGTTAATTGCTTAAAAAAGTTTAGATTTCAACAAAAATGGAGGGGAAGCCCTGTCTTATTTGTACATTGTAAGCTAGGCATGGTGAAAGCCTTTGATTGTGTGGTTTGGGACTTCTTGGACTATTTGCTAGGCTTCATAGGTTTCGGAGCGTGGTAGGCAATGGATGAGGGCATCTAAAACTTCTACTTGCTTCTCCGTTATGACGAGTGCCATCCCAAAAGGGATCTTTTTGAATCTCTAGGGGTTTGGTATAGGGGGTTCATATTCAATTATTGTTTACAATTCCTCAAAGGTCTTCATTTACTTGTTCGATGGATCAATTAGTATAGGGAGAAGAAAGACAAAAAATGAGGGAAAAAAAGAAGAGAAAAACTATCTAAGACCTCCCCTTACTCAAGAGGGGAAAAGTTTATATAAGTGCGAGGCTTTAAACAATCAAATTAAGGTGCACCTCAAAATTTTTACTAGAAGAGGTTGTTTCGATACCCAAAAATCCTCTAATTGATCATCTTGACCTCAAGATTCATGGACATGAGAAAAAATGATTTTCAATTTGTGGAAATAGTGCATCTTGTAATGCATTTTTGAATTGTCAATTTTCAAGATTTTCAAATGTTCATAGATCTACTTGATCTACACTATTTTTTAAGCTTTAAATTTTATAATTAGAGATGAAAATAATTTTTTAGGTCATCACAGATTTCTAGTATGGAAACTACATCTTTCGACACTATTTGAAGGTGCGCTTTACTTTGTTTGTTTAGAACCTCGGCCTTATACAAACCACACCCACTAAAGAAAATTATGTGAAATCCACTAGCGGAGTGCTATAAGAGGAGATAATGTTGTGGAAGGGTCAATCACCTACTTACCCTCATCAAAGCCACTGTGTCAATCTCTGTCCATTAGTCACCTGCTTACCCTCATTAAAGCCAATGTAGTAGACAATCTAGTTTACTTTGTATCCTTATTTGACATTCCTATTAGCATGATTAGAAGGTAGAAGATATTAGACATGATTTTTTTATGAGAGAACAAAGATGGGAATACATTTGGGGGTGGAGTGGTGGTCAATGGGCTGCTTTGACTAGACCGGGGTTCTTGCCCGGACCTGGCTATTTGATATGACTAGTTGTGTCCAGGTCCACTTGACCTGGCCTTAGATTAGATCGGGTTTGGGTCTTGTTGATCCCACCCAATTGACTCCAGTATGCATGTGATATGTCAATTAATATAAAAAATGTAAAGTTTTTTTATACACATTTAATGATTTTATTTTATCTTGACGTGCACTTGGCTGTTGGGTTTGGGGCCTCTTGACATGGACTCCGCTACCAGGCCGAGTCCGGGTCACACCCCCATTAGGTCGGGGTCGACTCAACCCCTTTACAGCCTTAACTATATTGTACCTTTTTCATTGAGCGACATCTAAATCTAGAAGGGATTGGATTAGACATCCGAAGCCAGTGACAGAGAATTGTATTGGAGTTTGACTCATAGTTTTTGGGATCTCCTAACCGAGTTGGCAATCTTGCTCCAGAGTCTCACTTCAACACACCAGGAAAGGAATCTTCAAGGCATCTCGATTTTTAAATTTCAAAATGTTGATCTCCACTATTAGGGATCTCGATCCCCACCTTAAAGACCGATGTCATGACCAAACTGATGACTTTCTTTATATATAGCCAGCTAGCAATGCGACTATACTTTTGATATAATTGCATCGCTTGTTCGCTATAATAAAGAGATCCCTTCTTTAAAGTGACTATATGTACAATTTAAGGTTGGGAGCAAGGTCCCTATAAGGTTGGGATCGAGATCCCAAAAGGTCAGGGTTGAAATCCCCAAAAGTTGTTATTGAGATCTCTAACATTTGGGGATCTCTATCCCTAACATATGTGTTGTATGGACTACGCTCCCAACTATACGGATCTTCTGGCCTTTCACGACCACTTGCTCTTGATCTAGATCCCACTCCTAATCCTGCTCCCACCTCAACAACTACGGTTTGACTTCACCTAATGGATGCCCTGGATTCAAGGTGAATAGGGAAAGGCAAAAAGAAAACGAAATAAAATTACCTTTGGGCGTTTGGAGGAGAGGAAAGCGTGGTCTACTATTACTGGAGATATGTGAGATTGAAAGAATGATCTGGGGTTATTAGATCAAGAACGAATGAAACACATTAACTTAAATAAGTATATCTAGATAGCCTATTACCAAAAGGGAATCATTTGAACATAAAACTTTGGATTATGGCTCAAAGGAACGTGATGCAGTTAAGAGTTTTATTTGGGAGGCTGAAATTAGGATTAATTTGGTTGTTTATTATTGTGGAGTTTTTTGGAGTATCTTTTTCTTTTGTTGTTGTAGAGATTCTAGCCCATAGATTTTTCTTTTGGGGAGGGGGGGGGGGGGGTTGTTGGTTGTTATATTTCTTGGGGCTCATGAAGAAACACATTTGTTTTCTATTTTCTATTCCTTTGTCTCATCTTTATATTATATGGTATTAAAGATTGAGATTTGGTGTTGTGATTCCACCAAAACCACTTCCTATAAGCAGGATTGATCAGTTCTTTGAGCACTTGGATGAACTAGTTGAAAATTTTTGAGAGGACATTTGAAAACCATTCAACGTATTTAGGCACCATTTGGGACATAGTAGAGGTTATGGAGAGTGTGCCCTCTCTCTTGCTTGCAACGGAGTCCATTGCAATATTTTTTTTTTTTTGACAAGGTTACATAGGAATGGAACTTGAGACGATGGGCTATGAAAACCTAGTCTCTAACGTCTTGACCCAAGCACGTTTCCTAGTCCATTACAATAGTTGAGAGATTTTTGAGAAAGTTAAACTTTAATATATGGGAGAAGAAAGTACAACTGTCCAAGAAATATAGGCTATTTGCAAGGTGGAAGCTCCATATAAAAGAAAACCCCTTTTAGAAAAAGGGGGAAAAAACGAAGAGAATAAAAAAGGCATGTTTTAAAGAGTTACAAAGATGTGGAATCATAACAAACGACAACAAGAAGCCAATCAATCCAAAAGAAAGATACTAAGAGCCGTGCTGGGCGGCCGCCTCCATAGCCAGAGTGTCCGCTTCTTGGTTTGGCTCCCTCCAAGTATACCTCCATAAGATGTGCATATCCTTGCAAAGGTGATTAATCTCGTCTAAAATGTGCGCCAAAGACCAAGGAGGGGGGATGAATTTGAAGGCCAGACAATCACATTCTTAGAACCCCCCTTAGTAATGAGCGAAATGATCTTGAGGGGATGGCCAAGCTTGAGTCCCTCTAGGAGAGCTGTGGCCTATGTGCTTGGAGTCAAGGGCGATAATTGCTCTCGAGTGGTCCTTGAGAATAATGCTTACTCCCACAAGCCCGGGATTTCCTAATGAATACCGTTGAAGTTAAGCTTGAATTGCGTCGAATCAGGCGGTTCTCCAATTAGACACTTGAGGTTGGCGCATTTGATTATGAAGTAGGTCGCAGTCCAGTCCTGATAAAAGGTAGATAGAGGAACCTCTTTGAAACTTTAATGGTTTGTTGCCCAGAACACAGCCAAGGATTTGAGGTTGGTGAATGTCTTGTACCACGAGGAGCACTCGCCTCAGAATATCCTATTGTTGTGATCAATACAGATTGACCAAATAGTTGCAGCCATCAAGGATTTCCACAACAAAATTCCCACTTTAGGCCAAGGGAAAGGTTGGATGGAGTTTAAGATAAGGGGGTACGGTAGCAGGAAGAACCCACTGAACTTTAAAAAGACTGAGAAGTTCCCCCCAAATCCTAAAGGCGAACGGGCAATGTAAGGAGAGTTGGGCATTAGTTTCCTCATTTGCCAAACGTAGGGCACAACGATTAGGTAAAGGGATACCTCTTCTTTGTAGCTGGTCGACCATGAGCACCCTCTGGGAGAGGGCTAATCACGAGAAAACCTGAATTTTAGGAGGGGTGAAAGAGGACCAGGCTTGTGCTACAAGGGAAGTAGGGGATAGAGGAAAAGTGGGTGGTTGAATAAGCTTAAGGTAAAAGGAGGAAACAGTGAAAGCACTTGATACACTTTGGGTCCAAACAATACGGTGCCATGAGAGGCAATAAAACAACCTTGGAGGGCAGCAGTAAGTTTCAATAAATGAGAATTTTAGGACTCAATAAGCACCCGTCTAAAAACTGGGTTCAAGGAGCGTGAAGACCCAGCCTCAATCATCTCGTCAGCCACCGTTGCCTCTTGAGAATGAGCAAGCGAGTAGCAGTCTGGGTATCTCACCCGGAGAGGTGTTTGACCAAACCTAAGTGTTTATCGCTTTGTGAATGACTCCTCTAGAGTGAAACTCATCGAAGAGAGCAAGCACATCGGTATGGAAGGTATCCCAGAAAGTTGCTATAGGGTACCTGTCAGGGTCAGGAGTCTTGTTCGAGGCAAGATGCGAAATAGCTTCCAGGATTTTAACTTCATAGAAAGGTCTCTCGAACCATAGAGCGTTATTGGGGGGAAGCGAGAGGAAAGAGGTCACCCATTAGCGGGTCTTGGGCCCTGGGGGCCAGAGAATAAATCTTTGAAGAAAGACAAAATAGCTTCTTCAATCTCCTGAGGTTGATCGAGGAGTCCCTCACCTACTAGAAGGTGGGAGAGAGAGTATTGTCCATGTGCTTGCAATTTGCAATTTTATGGAAAAAACCAGTGTTAAGATCACTAGCTTTTAACCATTTGGTCCTAGACCTTTGGTGCCAAAAAATCTCCTCTTTCTTGAGTATCGCAACATAATCTAACTTGAGTTGAGCTCTACATCGACGTTCAGGGTCCACGAGAGGTCTAGTTTCCTCCAAGACATCTAAAAGTTGAAGTTCCTGAAGAGCTGATCTTTTTCGATCTCGAAAGATCTGGTAACAGTTGACTCCAAGCTTTTAAATTCCCCTTCAAAAGTTGAAGTTTACATTGAATTCTGAAATCCGCCCATCCTTCGACCAGGTTGGAGAAAGATTGCCACCAGGAAGGGATAAAGGATATCAGGGGTCTTTCTTCTAGCCAAGACCGTTCAAATCTAAAAGGTTTGATACCTCTAGCGGTAGGGTTTGTGTTCAACAGTAGAGGGCAGTGATCAGAGGTGGGTTTAGGCAAAGCTGCTACATGAGATCTAGCAAAAGTGGAATCTCAATACAGGCTTACGAGGAAGTGGTCAAGTTTTGAGAGAGTATGGGAAGAGGAGTGGTTTGACCAAGTGAATTGGGTTCCCTGAATGGGGAGGTCAAGGAGGTTGTTGTGGTCGAAAAATCCGAGAAATGTCTCGTGGTTGGAGTAATCCTAGAGGAATTGTTTCTTTCAAAAGACCAACGGATCACATTGAAATCCCACCTATACACCAAATGGGGTGGGCGAGAGAGGCAACCAAGTTAAGTTCGTCACATAGTGTAGGCCTGAGAGAGTCTACATTTGGTCCATAGACAGCAGAAACTTCCACAAAAGGTCGTTTGGGATTCTAGAAAATAGGACAGTTACAAAAAAGAATGGAATATGGGTAGAGGTGATAGAATGGGTTGTAGGGTCCTAAATCACTTAGATGCCCTCCGAAGCCCCTTCTGCAAGAAGAGCTTCCCACTAACAGGGGCAACGACCCCAGACTTGCCTAACCTGGAGAAGGGAAGGCAAAGGTAACTTGGTCTCAGTTAACGCTATGATAGAGGGGTTGTATTTGAGGCAAAAGTCTCTAACAACTTGTTTTTTGTGGGGTAAACCTAGCCCCCACACATAGTGTAGGAAAGAATTAACATTTGGGAGAGATAGAGAGAGGGATGTTCCTAGGGGAACGCCTCTAACAGAGACCACCGGGGGAAAGCTCAGTAGGGTAGGGGGAAAAAGAGAGGGGTAGAGAAGAGACCGATCATAGTTAATACTGCAAGCGAGGTTCGCAACCTCTCGCTTGCACTTTCGACTTACCCTTAACTTGAACTGCGCATCAGCTTTGAAGAAGGTTCAGGACCATTGTAGGGGAAGCCCATAACCTTAAAGACATTTCGAATGCCACCTTGGGCGACGTCCATATCGTCGACAAATGAAGAGTCCATCGACATCAGAAACGGATGCCATCAAACATCATCGGAAGAAGCAAAGGCACCCCAACTCGCTAATGAACCAACACCAAGGAAGTGATCAAGAGGCGAAAACGCAGGGGAGAGAGGGGAAGGCAGACCGAGTGGGGGGAGACGGTCCAAAGTGTTGGGCAGAAAATGGAAGAGGTAGGCCCAAAGGGATCCACCGGTAAAGAGAACCCCAAAGAAAGCGGAGTGGACGAAGGTTCAGTGAGGTCAACAGGAAAAGGAGGCGGAAAAGAAATAGGTGACAAAGGGGGGGCGGGGGGGGTCCGGGAAAACTAGTTGAGAGATTTTGTCCTCTTTCTAAGGCTATAAAGTTCTCCACCCCAAAAGAAAGGTCTCTTCACAAGACTAGAAAAACTTTCAAACTTCTTCCTCCTTTCTCTTTACAATAGTTCACTTCTTACCTTGGGATGGGTAAAGTGCAGGCCATGATGGTTTTTCTGTGACATTATTTCAGCAGTTCTGGGACTTGTGTTAAACTGAAAGTAAGAGCCATGACTGCTTGTTCCTCACTTGCAATTTCATACATCACATTTGTGAAACAGCATTCTGGAAATTCAAAGATATAAATGACCTAGTCGGGTACCCAAAACCTCATTGCAAACTGGTTCAGAAGGAAATTATCAAACAATTTCCATATTGACAAGTTAAAGGTCTCTCTTCCTACCATAATCTAGAGTCACTTGGCAAAAAAGAAAGCAGTGGGTAAAAGAGAACCACAACCAATTGATTCAAATAGTAATGGCATGTAAATTTCAAATTTGGCCTGGGCATATCACTCACAAAAAATATTGATGAAAAAAAAACTTATCTAAAAGAGGTGCTACTTGTCCCCCACACAGAAAGCCTGGAGTGCATAATTTTTCAATTGCTGAAGTGAGGAGACTCGTTCATAGTGATCTATTTAGAGCTCTGTACACCTCACCTCTTGTAGATTCACTTCTCACATCTTAACACAAGGGGTGGCTACTTGCTCAAACACTTAGCTGATGGAGTGAAAAAAAGGTATCATGGACATTTTCTGTGGATTCAACTCTAGAGGATAGTGCAATGGGGGCTTCACTCTACTCGCATCTTGCTTATTCCTAAGAACATTGGAACCATTGATATCGTGGATTATAAACCAATTAGTGTTGTGGGCACCTAGCATAAAATCTAGACTACAGTCAACTTCCTGTGTGAAAGATGTTCTCCTTAATATTATCCCTTACAAGGAGATTTTTTGAGAGGGAGCCAAATGATGGGTGGTATCCTAATGGCCAATGAAGTAATACACTCTGGGCAAAATGGAACAAGCATGGTAGTTAAGGTGGATATCGAGAAGGCTTGTAATCATTTGATTTGCGCTCTCCTCCCCTAAGTGTCGCACTGGATGCTAGGGTAAAGAGGTGAGGAGGATCTATCATCATTCACCTGATTTGAATGTTATGTCCTTGGAGGCCTTTAGTCTGTTCAGTTGACTATGGGAACCCTCGAGTCTGTCTACTTCATGGGCCTTTGGAGGTTTCTTTAGTTAGTGTATTTTTTCATAATGGAGCTAGCTCACATTGTCTGGATGGTTTGTTTTGGACACCAGTTGCTATTATTGGTTTCGTTTTTTTTTCATTATCACTTTTGGAGTGGTCTTTGCCATTTTATGCTCCCTTGGGAGTATACTGTACTCTTATTCCCTTGGGCGAAAGACCTACTAGAGATGATTTTTTCAAATCTGAAATTTTGGGATCCATTTAAGAATTATCAGATGATTGTTTTCTGAAAAAAAGGGTTTTGAATTCTTCAACACTTAAATCTCACATTCAAAATTGGAAGGTCTCTGTTCAATCTCGGGACGTTGTGTTTTTTGAGGAATGCAGAGAAAGCGTTTTGAGTTTTTTTCTTTTTTTAGGTTAGTTGTTTGGTTGAGAGGTTATTCCCCAAAATTTAACGTCCTAGAAAACACCTAGATTGGGTTTTACTGTGGGGAGTAAATGGACAGTATGCTCCCATGGGAGCATAGGATCTTTTGATGTGTTATATTTCATTCTCTCTGCTTATCCCTGCCTTCTGGAAAGCTTATGGTGGAAGACACTCTCGTGTAAAATTATTCTTGGTCTGATCCAGTAATTTATCTAATTGTGAATGTTATGCTTCAAGTGTTTGTCTAATTAGTATTTTCATATCTAGTGGTTTTGAATCAATATTACTGTGAATGATAATATTCTATTTCTGTTTAATCCTTAATTGGTCTTTAATGACTGACATATTGCATCTTGATGGATTTTGCAGGTCTTTGAATGTACCTCTACCTAAGGAGGAAACACTTTCAAGACACTCCATTTTGGGTCCAAATGGGCTTCATGGACAGTGGCAGGCACCTTTTAGTGACAGAGGGGTATAGACTGCAGAAATATTGATATATGGGAAAAGATCCTGTCAGCCCATGGGCTGATGGAAAAGTGTAAGCCCAACGGCCCAGATTAAATCTGGGCGGATTTGATGGTCACAACTGCATTTCGCATTTGAATTGTAATATTTTTTTATAAATTCAAATCATATGAAATTTGGGGCGTCCACTTTTCTCATCAAGGAACACCTAATAAAATATTAAAATAATAATTCACAAAAAATAAATTGACCAAAATAACGCTGAAAGTTTAAGGGGTAGTTTGGTTAATTTAATTTTTATGAATTAGGGTTTTGCTATTTTTATTAGATTTTTTTATTTTTTAAGAATAGAAGCTCCATAGTTCAAGTGATTTGGATTAGTAGAAAAAAAAACTAAAATTCAAATACGAAATGCAATCGTGACCGTTGGATTGACCCATATTCAATTTGGGCCATTTGGCGTATGCGGTAGTTGTTAGCTAGTGGGCTGACCTCAGACTCTCCCTTGATATATTGGTATTTTTTTTTTCTGTTGTACACTTATCTATTGACTGATTATCATTCCCCATTTGAAACCAGGTCCAGTATCCTCGCAATCTTGATTTGACTCCAATTGAAATTCCAAGGTTGTATGAGTTTCCCTTTTACCTTCATGGATATGCTCCTTGATCTTTATATAGGATATTCTCATCTGATGTCATGTGTCTTTATTTGCTTTACAGATTATTTTAGTCATTTGATGAAGTTTCTTCTGTTTCTCACTATTTGTGGATGGTAGCCCGAGTCAAACTGGACAAGATGGAGTTATGATTAGGGACGGTACTGGATCAACCCTTCATAGCTCAACCATTGAATCAGTTCTTTCACTCGATGATGGCAGGGGATTTCTTCATAGTGAGGAGCCTTGTCCAATATCCATGGCTAACACACTTGAAGTTCCTGTTAAATTCGATATTATAAGGCAACCTTCTCCTCCACCTGTTCTTGCTGATGTGCAAGATTTGATACCTCCTGCGCCACCTCAAGTCATTGACTCAAGAATTGGACTTGCAAAGCCTTCACAGGAAGAGCTTGTTCAATCTGAATCTCCTTTGCAGCTGCATGTTGTGAGATTCTCGCCGATTTGACTTTCTTCTAGTGCCTCTTTTGTAACCTTTTTTATTTATAACTTTTCTTTTCTGTTAGAGGTGTTCTTTGTCTCGTTTCTTTTAATCCATTTTGTGATTTGGACTTTACCACTGGTCCTTAAGATCCTCTTTTGTATTCTTAAATTTGATTTTTTGTGTACTGACTTATATAGTGTTTGCAGTCAGTGACTATGATGGAAGAGTTCATGAGGCTGGCCAAGTCAAATACACAGAAAAACTTAGAAACATGTGGTGTTCTTGCTGGTTCACTTGTGAGTGTTTTACTATCGAAGTTTTTCAGCGTTTTTGTGAATGTTTTGCTATTAAATGTTTGTTTCTTGCAAGAAGGGCAATCAGGCAAGCTGTTATAAGGATAAGCCCACCCTAATTCTGAGTTATGCTAGTCTCCTTTGGCATGTGCGACCTGTTTGATGGCTTATTTGCCTCCCTATACCAGGGACCAGTGCCAACATTATTAAATTTCTCATAAACGTCCAAAAATATCTTTATGGAGTTTCCTCACCTTCCATAACAAAACACCCATCCTCAGTATCATCACATGTACTCTCCCCAAAGTTTATCAAGAACCACAAGAATGCCCTAAGTCTTGTCCATAGCGGTGTGACACTGGCAACTGTCTCATCCATCTCCGAAGTGGACCTACAAAGTAGGATCCTCATAACCCCCTCATTGTGGCATATCTTGGCTTCTATATTTTGGCCTGCCTTGTTTCATGCTTCAAAAATGTTGTGATGAAAGTAACACCAGCTGATCTTGCGTTGTATTATCACAATTCAGGTCTTCGATTTTTTTCTATTTCCTGCTGGCTTATATTTTCTTGTAGTCATATATTCCTTTTCAAGTATTCCAAAAGGACCATATAAGTTCAACATTGATGCTCTCATATTTGGCCTCTGCATTGCATATGTTTACTAAGCTGCTTACAGTTTTTCATTTTAAATGATAAAATTATTTTAGCTACATGTACTGAAGTGCTTATTTTATGGACAGAAAAACAGAAAATTCTTTATTACAGCTCTGATCATCCCAAAGCAAGAGTCCACTTCTGATTCGGTGAGATATATGATTGTTTTAGTAATCTTTGAGATCCTTCTAGCAGGTCTCATGAATAAAGTATATTCTGATAGGCATGATTTCATTTGAACAGTGTCAAACTATGAATGAAGAAGAAATATATGAAGTTCAAGATACACGGTCTCTTTTCCCTCTTGGATGGATACATGTGAGTATATGAGAGCCAATTCATTTCTCTGCTTACTATAGCCCTTTCCTTGGTGATGCCTTTGTAGTTAGATGGGCTTGTATTCTTGGTGTTCTCAACTGTGGCAACTCTTCATACACACCCCCCCCCCCCTCCCCCGCCCTGCCCCCTGGCCTGATTGGTGGCTATTTCTTCGTACTGCTGAGTTTGACTGGCTACTTTCTTTGTCAATTGCATGACATATTGGCTTCCCCATCCCAACCCAATGCACAACCTGCTGTAAATCTTTAGGCGACTGAGCGCCTGGAAGTTTTTAAGTCTGTGTTTACATGCTGTGCAAAGCTGCTTTTGCAGCGAAGTCTAACTGACTATCAGACTTGAAAAGTGATGGAGATACCCCAATGCATGTCTATTGACCCACACTATTATCTGTATGACCTACTGAGGATAACCCGTTGTTGACATTGTAGAAACGTGACATAGCTAACCTCTCTGACCAACCTAATCATGCGTTTCAGATGGCCCCATGTTGGCAATTCACCCAATTCAGAACCTGCTGTAAATCTTTAGGTGACTGAACCCCTGAAAGTTTTTAAGTCACTGTTTACATGTTGTTGAGAGCTTCTTTCACTTGCTGCTATAATGGCATTCCACAAATCTAAATTCATGGTTACATGATTAAGGACAATCTTTAAAGAGTCCATCCAATATACCCATTTCCAGGCCATGGAATTTGTCTTCTTTGTCTCCCCTGCTCAATGTTCAAAAATTCGGAGGCAGCCGCCTAGGCGGTTTGGTCTCTTGGCAGCCGCCTAGGCACCTAGGCGGCCGCCCAAGATAAAGGTGGCCTGCCTTTTGGGGAAGTGCAGATCCTTGTGGATTTTGGCCCCCCTTCACCACCCCCCATTTTATTGTATATAGAAATGACTTTTTAATTTAATAAGTAAAATTTGTATATAATATATTGTTCAGAACGCCGAAGTCAGAAATGCAGATCAAAATTAAACCTTTACGACTTTAGACTGTAAATTAAATACTTAAAACTCAAAAGCAACATTAAAAAAAACTAAAAAAAAGGTAAAAAAACAATATTTGTTTGATTTGGGGCCAATGGACTTTTTTATTGTATTGCTTTCCCAAAGACTCAAACTACATATCAATATGGGAAAATAATAATGCAAATAGTCAATAACATATCAAATATATATAATAAAGTATCACAAAAAAAATACAAATAGCAAAGAATAATATCATAAGACATTGTGAAAACAACAAATACATAACTTAATAAAAACTATTGAAATATACCAACCTTCTTGAAGTGTAATCGATATCGGGCCAAACCCAAATGTTTTGGTTCCCAAATCTCCTCTTTCACAACTACTAAAAGCCTCAAAAAGATTGGGGATGAATATCCTTTAATTTCATGACCATTCGAGGAGGTCGAAAAAAATTTTGATCTCCCTACAAATCTTCAAAGTCTTGTTTTTTTCAAGTTTTTTCTCACTCTATACTTCACTAACAATGTTTTTGGGAGCAAGAATAGCCCCAAAACCCTTTTCCCCCCTTTTTTAGGGGGTAAAATGATGATTTTATCCATTACCCGAGTTTTTTTTTCTGCCATTGGGTGAGGTGGTGCCTAAGCTGGTGCCTTTTATGCCATCCAGATGGGCGCCTAGGCGGACACCTTGAAGGACCCGCCTTCAGCGGGCCGCCTAGTCCACGATTAGTTGTTTTTGAAAAAAAGCCTCCTAGGTGGCAAGGCAGCTGTTTTTTCGTTTATGGGCTCTGCAAAGTGAAGCCATCGTCAGTGAACAAGAATTAGGATTTGACCACCTAGGCGGGCACCTAATTTCCTAGCCTGCCTAGAGGAAAGCTAAGAGGAGAACAATATGGGCGTTTGTGGGGGAAAGAGGAGTGGCAGGGTTTTGGGGAAGAAGAACAGGTGGAAGGGGGAGTACTACCAGCAATTAAAGATTGACGGACAAAACCCCACAAAAATATGACAGTCATGTGATAAATGCCCTCATTAGAGGATTGCTTCCACCTCAAACCCATGACAAGATATATATAACCCTCTAACTGCTGTCTCAACCATTTCAAAATTTAAATAATTCCCCTTTCCTACCCCCTACAAATTTACCAAATTTCAGTTTAACTCCAAAACCAGCTTTGGACCCCTCACTCCGTAGTGTTCATCTTGATCGGATGGCTCCAACCTGAACAGCTGTCCCAACACATATCCTTACGGACTGTGGACTAAGTAGCCCTCAACCTTTGACTTTCTTCTTCTTATTTCTCAAGGCGGGCCAAGGCTTTCACTTTGATGGCTTCTAGGCACCTTTTTATGCGGTGCATTGGACCAAAATGCATGCATTAGTCATCCTCCTCGAGCTATTCTGTATGGAATGGTGCCTCAACTGCCTGGCCAACAAGGCACGCGTATTTGTTAACTCATTAGCTTTCTATAGACATATA